ACACACATACACGTACATACACCTTCATAATCTTTGCTTATATTCAACCATATAGCTTTTTCTTTCATCTTTATGGTAAAATGAAAGCAATGTAGTTGTTCTAACTTATAAAGCACCATGATAACAAACTTTAAGCTGTGTATTTTAAGAGCAGAATTAACAAAATCTGAAGATAATCGAATATTATCTTGTCACATTGTGTGCTTTTATATATTTATATGATTTTAAATTTATATGTGCTAGTATCATCTTAGAAAATTTCTCTTGCTTTCAAGTAGATATAAAGAAAAAAAGTTTGTTAATATTCTTCAATACTTGTATGGTTTTGGTGTCACATGACTTTGGGTCCAGAACCTTAGCTTCCTCAGCCATGTAATAGTCCTTAAATTTCAAAAGAACTTCAGATATGTATGTGATCATGAATTATGTCATATTTTTATTTATTTTATATAATATTTCTAAGTTTCTTTTTTAACTCTTAAGAACTTTTGGAATTTATAAATTGAGAAAATAGAAATTAAAATTAAAATATGTGGTAATTGTTTTCTCTGCTTTTCAAGAGAATTATTATTTTTTGAAATCAGCATCTACATTTTCTGCACATATAATATGCATGAAAAAACTTACTTGCTATTTATGAGAACACAGTACATTTTTTTCCCTTCTGCATTCCTGGCTTACTTTTTAATTTGAAAGACTTCAATATTTTTAATGAATTTTCTCTCTCTTGAAATGTTACAAGTAGAAGGAAGATAGTGTCTTGACATTGAATTGTGTGTCTTGACATTGAATTGTGAAAGAACTTATTTTGAAAGAGAAATTATTTTTCATTGATAGATTGAAAAAAAGTATTTTTATTATAAGTAACAGTGTATTGCAAAGCAGTAGACTACATGCTAATACATAAAACTGTCTCTTGCCATTATCAATTTATAAAACATGTCTGAAGTGCTTATTGTACCATCTAGGATTGTCAGTTCTTTGCAATCTAAATATGGCATTGCCTGCTTTTGGAAGAGAGAAAGCTTTAGACACCCATAATACATGAAAAAAAGAAAAATAATGAAAATATTAAAACCTAAATCATAAGAAATTTCTCTTTTAGGACTCTGCTACTAGAGAATGACAAACTAGAGTTATTTCTAGTTTTCACGTAGTTGTCTTTGTTTCGATTTTGGTCATTATTGTTAATGATATGATTTCTTTTAACCTAGACATTACTGTTGTTCTGTTCTCAAGGAGAGTATCTCCCATGCTGCCCCTTTAACCTTTTATTTTTAATGTGCCGGAGGGGCTTCCTTGTTTACTCTTTGCCATAGATAGCATGATAAACTTGCTAAGTTGCAAACATAGTGGAGTGCTATTCTTATGAATGCAGGAGAATGTAATTCTGTACATTTAGGCAACAAAACTATCCTTAGAAGCAGACTTTTGGTCAACTTAGAAAAAAAGGGCAAAAGATGTATATGCATATTCATAGTCTCCCTGTTGCAGTCATCTTGGTTGAAAAGCTGTGATTTTAGGGAAGAAAGAATGAACAGAGTGTTAGAGAGCTCACATTTGGATAATGAAGAACTTTACTGAGGCCTAAGGATGTCACATACTAAGTAACTCTGGTCTTAAATTTTCCTTTTAGAGAAGGTGATAAGCCTCTAGCTAATGGGCCTTTCTTATTTGTATAAAATAGATAGTCATATACTTTCTGTACGTCTTGATTGTTGCTTGATTAAAAATGTTACAGACTCTAAGATGGACAGCATTTATTTGAAGCCATCAGCCCAAATAAGCAAATAGAGCTGATTTTTGTCATCTAATTATGTTTTTCTAAAACACACAGTTTGCAACAAAAAGTAGAAAGATGTCTTGAAGATGGAATCCGCCTTCCCATGTTGGATGCAAAACAGCTTCAGAATGAAAATGATAATCTGAGGGAACAGAATGAGGCTGCTTGTAAGGTCAGTAGATGCGTTTGATAGGAAACATGAAATCAGTACTATGTGAGTATGGGTATATAGATATATAATTTATAGCCATTTTTTGTGAGTTGTGATTTTGTTGATATTTAAATAGCTTATAAAATTTTGAGTTTGAATGTTTGTATTTGGAAAGAAAATAACCATTTAAGCAAGTGTAAAAATTTAATTGAAATAAATGACAAAGCAAAGATTATCTTTTTCTTTACTAAACTGTTCAAAGTGTGTCTCAAAGTTATTTTTATAAGTTGCATAGAGAAGAGTTTTATTGAGAACTACAGGAAGACTTTTGTCATTTAAATATGTGTGATCTAAGTCATATTGTTGTTTAAAGGATACTTATTATGAAAACTTTTGTAAAATTTATAAAGACACCTTTTAAACAAATTTATAATTTCCTGTGCCTTTCTTTGTTTCATCTTGAAATACTGGTACTTTTAAAAAGCAGTGTGGGAAAAAATGAGTTTATTCACTAAGACTGATTTATTTCCTGTGTTTTAGATAATAGACAACCAACAAGATGAAATTAACAGAATGATTCTAGAAATTCAGGTAAGAAATATTTTATATTATTTTAATTTAGCTACATGCTGACCTAAAAGTATTAAAACATACATGTGTTTGTATGAAAAGATAATTTTACCTGAGGTAAAGTTAAATTTTTTTTAATATTAATCTTTTTTTCTCTTATTATTTTTATTTTTATTTTGCATTACAATTCTTAATACACCTTTATACCACAATTTATCATATCTCTGATTGTATATAAGGTATGTTACACCAAATTCATACCTTAAATATTAATCTTTTAGTTTTTTAGAAAGAAATTTTTATTTAATAAATCAGTTTTTCCAAAATTGTTCTCTGTTCCTCACGTCTTCCTCTCTTTTTATTTGGATGTAGTATATCTCCACGACTTTGAACATATTTAATTTAGATCATCTTAATCAAGTAGTTACAACCATGAACTGTTTTTGTCCAATTATTTGATCTTCATACATTATTTCTACCTGAAAAGGCATACAGAGCCCCCTTCTGTCTATCTTATGCTCTTTATCTCCATCAGATTTTCTTCAGAGTTTTATAATGAACTGCCTTTCTCTGCCCCATCCTTTAAATATTGTTAATCCTGCAAGCATTTCTGTGTCTACTCCCTGGTATTTCATTAATTCTGCCTAATGTTTTTATTATTCTCTCTTATTCTAATTGGCTTTCCTTATTTTCTAATTACACTCTCCATCACTATTGTCTCAGCCCTGTGATGCTGTTTATTGTGATACATCTCAAGTACAAAGATAATCTGGTAACTCTTATCTGTGGAATATCTCTATTATCTGTGGTCAAAACACTAAATTCTAAGCATCAACACAAAATCAGCCTTCATATTGCCTCTCTAACTGCCTACCCTCAGTATTCATACCATTCATATGCACATACATATGATGATTCAGTAAATCTTAGTTCTTATATAGTTTCCTGAGAGTGTGTCCTTTTTGGTATGCTCATCTGGCAAATATCTACTCAACTTTCAGGATTCTGCAGAGCATCATTTTATAAAAGCTTGATAGATTTTTGCTACCTCTTAGGTAGCACTGCCTGCTCTCTGTTTAACTTTTGCTCCCCTTCCTAATAATTTTATATATTACTATTTCTACAGTATCAAACTATAACACTTTATTTACATATTTTAATCTTTTTTTTATTAGTTGCTCAAGACAGTACAATGATCTTGACATATCATACATTTGATTCAAATAGGGTATGAATTCTCATTTTTCCACGTGTACAGATTGCAGGATCACATTGGTTATACATCCACGTGTATATATACAGCAATCCTAACCTTCTAAGTTTCTTGAGAATGGAGGCTATGGTAGCTCATCTGGAGATTTTGACCTTATCAGAATGCCTGACACATAATACACAGGTCCCAAAATTTGGAGACTAAAAGGATTTTCATTCTTTTACTCATTTGCCATGTATTTACTGAGCTACTGTAACCTATTTTCCAGGCACAGTTCTTGTCATATGTGATTCATCAGTGAACAAAACAATTCTAGTGGGAAGAGTTGGAAAAATGGAAAATGAATGTCACAGGCTATTAAAGCTTTTTCTGTTAAAAACTTGTTATTTAATGGACTGTGGATGTGGCTCAGTGGTAGGCCTGTCATGCATAAGGCCTTAGTTCAAACCCTAGCACTGAGAAGGAAAAAAAAAAAGTATTTTTTTTTAATTAAGTAGACTAGAAGGCAGTGACAGAAAGTGCTGCATTTCATAATGTGGTCATATAGTTTTTCCAAAAGAGGAAATATTTGAATATATCCAGGGGGATAGCATGCTAGACAAAGAGAGCAACAAATGTTCTCAATGTTGCCTAGTGTGCTTGCTTCAAGACCAGCAAGAAGGCTGTGAGCCTGGAGTGCAGGGATAGAGGCAGAGAGATGAGAGGTAATGCTGAAAAGTAACCTGGACCAGATCACGTGGGACATATTTATATTTTAATCTGAGTGTGATGAAAAGTCTTTGGGTAGATTTTATGGAGTAAATTTTTAGTTTTATACCTTATAATTCTATTATTCTTTTTTTTTTTTTTTTTTTTTTTTTTTTTTTTGGCAGGAAGGGATGGGAGCTCCCGGGGATTAAGCTCAGGGGCACTTGACCACTGACCCATATCTCCTGCCCTAGTTTGAATTTTATTTAAGAGTCAGGGTCTCACTGAACTGCTTAGCACCTTGCTGTGTGTGTGTGTATGTGTGTCTGTGGTGCTGGGGATTGAACCAAGGGCCTTGTGCATGTGAGGCAAGCATTCTATCAACTGAGCTATATCCTCAGCCCCAGCACCTTGCTTTTGCTAAAGCTGGTTTTGAATTTGAGATCCTCCTGTCTCAGCCTCTTGAGCCGCTGGGACATAGCACCCAGCTTATAATTCTAAAACTCTTTAAATGAAAGTAAAAAAGGTAAATGGTTTGCATGTCAGAAATACATATAGTCTTCTTTGATTGTCTTTTGATAGTACTACATGATTATCAATTTAATTAAATATCAGTCCAGTTCAACAAGTATATGATGAGCCCAATGGACTAATTTACAGAGGTTATGACCTTTATTTTATAGTCTTAAAAACTGTAGCTTCAAATTTTCCATAAGCCATTAGAATCACAAGATTGTTAGGTTCTCTCAATCATAGTTATCTGACTTCTTATAGTACATAAAGAAATTAATTTCTACGTCATATTTTCCAAGAAGTAGATCTAATAAAAGTTATCTAAATTAGGAAAAATCAACACATAAACCTTGGCAGGAAACTTGGATCAAAAGACTGGTAAGATTATGTTGGTCACATACTATCCCCTTATGTTATAGTGTTCAGTATATGTTTATATTAATTCAAATGTTTTTTTATCTCATTTGTGAAGGTATTTTAATGTAATTACTCCCGTATATTGTCTTTGGTAACATATATGTCATGATTATTTGCAATTAATATGTAGAACCATATGTAATTTTATGCCATTGAATCTTTGATTATAAAATGTTTAAGCAATCATCTTTTATTTCTTCAAACTACTTATAGAATTGAAATCAAATTAATGAGTACATTTATTTCCAAATATTTGAGCCCAAACAATATACTCATTAATTCTGTTGTCTTATTATTTGGAAAAATAGTTTTTTCTTTTCTCTTTCTCTATCTACCTACCTACCTACCTATCTATCTACCTACCTATCTATCTATTTATTTATTTATTTATTTATTTATTTTTACTTTACCAGTTCATTTATCCATTTTGACCATGTAGGCCTATAGATGATAGTTTTCTTTCTTTTGAATTGTTTATTTGTTTTTTTTAGTTATACATGACAGTAGAATATATTTTGATGTATCATATATATGTGGAGTATAACTCCCCATTTTTATCATTGTACATGATGTGGAGTTAACTGGTCATTTATTCATATATGTACAAGGAAAATCATGTTCGCTAGATGATAGAATTCTTATAGACACAGATAATAACATTGATTATGTGATATAGCTATATTTTTCAAGATATGATTTAAATGACAAATTATAGATGGTGACAATTATGACTCACATCTCTTTCCTTAATTTTTTTAATTTAAATTCATGGAGTTTTTTTGGCCCCTCATAGTTGAAAAAACTAGGTTTTTGTTTGTGTTTTTACTTATGACCTTTTATAAACATGTATACTTTGTAAAAACCTGAAAAAAATGAACACTAATTATTTCTCAGGCATTTCAAGTTCTAAAAAGAGCACTTTGACTTGAAAAAGATTTATTGTGTTGCACTGTTGTTAATGAGCATAATTAATAGGCATAGTATCAAGTTGGTAATCTCCTAGAGTAGTTGCCTTTAAGTAGCTAATTGTTAAAACTGCCTCAGTTTTCCTCATCTGTCTACTTAAAGGATGGTGAACCTTATACCTATGTAGATTATGATGTCTTTCCCATGTGCTTTACTGCTGATTTTTAATTTCTTCAAATTCCTATATATAACAAAATACTATGGAATTAATAATAGCAGAGAGCTTTATGTTATTTTTAATATAAATTATGCATTTAGCTATCCCTGCAGTATTAAATTCATTGTAAAATCTCACTGCCATTATAGTTTGAATGGTCTTTCTTCCTAACGGTAGTTGGACATTGTTCCATTTTAGAGTGTTTAGTGAACAAAGATAGCAGGTGTTCTTGTTTTGCCTGTGTACAAGTATGCGTGTATGTGTGCGTGTGTGTGTGTTTTACTGGAGATTGAACCGAGAGGCATTCTACCAGAGTTACATCCCAGCCTTTTCATTTATTTAAGACAGGGTCTCCTCTTGCTAAATGCCCCAGGCTGGTCTTGAACTTGTGATCCTCTTGCATCAGCCTCCTGAGTTGCTAGGGTTATAATCATGTGCCATAGTGCCCAGCTACATAGATTTGAGTTTTGCTTTTTACTGCTTCTTTGTGCCCCCGTAAACTACTAAGACCTGATTTGTTCAGTGATCATTTTACTGATTTGGAGTACTGTATTGCTTTGGGTATTAGGAAGTTGTTCTCAGCAGTTTAAATTTAATCTCAAAAGGGAAAAATAAAATCCCATGCTATGTACATTTTATGTCCAATTTTGTAGGAGATTAAAAAATGAGACATTGTTTCATAGTGAAAATTCTGTGTTTAAAGTATAGCTATAGTTTACTACCTCATATCAGATCAAATGAATACTTATCTGGTATAGATTACAGACAAGTTTGATTGACAGCTTTGTAATTTGGGGAAAAATTGGTCTCCTACCACTAATACTAAATTTGTTGTTGAATATATAAAAAGTACTTTTTTATATAGAAGTATATGCTAAATTTGAAATTGAATTGAGTGTTATAAAATACAAATTTATGTACTATTTTTTCATCATTGAGATAATTGTTAACAGGCATGAATACTTTATTTACTCACTGATCTTTTAGAAATTGTGCCTTTCTTTATGTTCTTGAAACTAGTATAGCTAAACTGGCTTCTTCTCCTAAAGGCTTTTTTTTTCTTCTGTCCATATACAATACAAAAAGATATTTTGCAATAGAACCTTCACTGTCATTTCCATAAATGTTACATTCAGAATGTGATTGAGTTCTACATTTGGCATTACTTTCCTTCCTATTTTTTCCTCAAAAGCACATTTCACCTTTATAAGCCTTTTTCTTGTTAGCTGTTATCACTGTCTTGTATATTTGTAATCTTTTGGCAGAGGAGATTATAGAGCAAAATGTTTCAGAAATGTGTATCTGTTTTCTCTAATGTTAAAGTGTTTCCTCATTATAAGAACTTATATATTTAAATGGTCTTTCTGAATTGACAGCTATCAGTAAATTATTATAATACCACAAAAGACCAGAATGATAGTTCAGAAGTCATTAAGACTTGTTATTCTTAATAGGAATGATTGTAGCCAACAATTTCAAAACTGTTGACAGTCTGTTCAATTTATATTAAGAAGTTTCCACATTCTCAGAGGAGTCTGTTTTTACCACATGTCTCATAAGCCTTCATCTACTAGATTTTCTTGGTGGAAATATTGGGAAAATGCATTATAAGCCAATAGAATGCCTTATGGATAAAATATAATACCTCGGGCTGGGGTTGAAGCTCAGTGGTAGACCACTTGATTAGCATGTGTAAGGCACTGGGTTCAATCAAACAAATAAATAAAATAAAGGTATTGTGTCAATCTGCAACTAAAAATAGTTTTTTAAAAACATAATATTTCTCACCTAAATAAATATCAATTTCTTTAATGTTGTCTTATTGTATAAAGTTTATCTCCTTTATTTTGTTATTATACTGTTGTAATGTGTCCTAAGATGAAGTTTTTTCTTCCTAAAGTTTAATTTTTATAAAACTTACATGTTAAACAGATTTTTGATGAATGAAAAACTAAAAATATTCTCATTATATTATTAATATTTTTTGAAACTACCAACCAAAAAATGTCCTTACTCTACTCCTTGTTCTTATAAAGAACATGCTATAGTTTTTGCATAATTATGTCAGAAAAATATGTAAAGAGTTTATGTCTTTAACTTCTGAAAAATCATTTGTTTGAAATGGGGAGTAGCAGGGAGGGATACAGTTCACTTGAATTGTGAAAGAATGTACTTGGACTTGTTTATAGTATGTCAAATCTATATGGATGTTCAAATTATTTGGAATCCTTTTTAAAATATATTTTTCTGGGTCCCAGTTGTGAACCTTAATGAATCACTATCTCTGGGATGAAGTTTGAATTATACATTATACTGCCAAGTTCCCTAGGCAGTCCTTAACATAGCCAGGGAGTGGTCCTATTTCTAGAGTTCTCAAGTTTTACAGTCCTCATTGTGTTTGGTGGACCACGGAGTGGGAACTTCGTGGTAAGACAGGCTTAAATAAGAATAAGGTTTAGTTTCTTAGACACCTGGGTATGTTTTTGAGTACATATAAGCTGTTTTGTTAGATCTTACTTACAAACCAGAACATAGATCAGAAGCTAGATGTAAAGAAATTCAGGCAGATTATTTTTTCTTTTTATTGCTAATTTTTCATATAACAATTTTATGATATAATTCACATAATATTTTGTTCTCATATTTATGGTGTATGCTTCAGTATTATTAGTATATTCACAGATATGTGCAGTGAAGACCACAATGAATTCTAGAACATTTTTATATTCTATAGGAAAAAAATCTCCATAGATTTGCTTATTCTGGACCCTAGATATATCCAGAGTCTTATGTGTTTATTTTTCTGACCCATATTTAGCTAGTAAACTCCTAATTTCCAGCTGATACCATGTACTATGGCATAATTTGCTTTACAGACTAATTCATTCTGGCTCCTTTGAGGACTAGTTACTTAGGTTAGTATTTGAGATTTGTTCTTACTCCAGGAGTATTTTCCAGCTATCTTTTTCTCTTTGGGAAAGTAACCTAGTCTGAAGAACCCATAAATCTAAAAGTAGTCTACCACATGCCTGTTGCCACAACCTCCAGTGTTTTTGAGAATGCTCTTAGGCTTGAATTTCTCTATAAAGTATATTGCAGTTGAAGTCAGTTCATTATAGATACCTTTGGAACTCCCTGTTCTATGGCCTGCTTCTCCTCAGGCAAAATCTCTTTAAGCCAGATCAGTGGGTGTGGGGACAGTGGCAGTGTTCTGAGTGACACCCTTACTTTAGGAGCTGAATAGTCAGTGGAGGTCTACTGGACAGCATCTCCCTTATCTCCTTAACTTGCTTGGCCCAGCATGTAACACTCCTAACCCCATTCCCCACCCCACGATCTGGGGCAAGAACAATCAGGACCCCATTATTCTTAATGGTGCCACACCCCAGGTAAAGCCTCCATCCCAACTGATGATCTGAGTGGAAGAAAGGAGCCCCCACATTTTGGCTGTTCATGCCTGAAATATGTAACAAGGGGCAGGATTATAAATATTGATGTCCTTTCCCTTCTGGAAAGATAGTTCACCTGGGTGCCGAGCAGAGAGGGAACCCTGTATTATTGAGCGAGAGTCTGGGGTGGAAGTTCTATCTCAAGCTATGAAAGAGGGATAGGGTGAGTCTTGTTTTGCAAATCAGTCTCTTGCTTTCCTGATTTTTCTCAAATAAATATCTGTTTCTTCATTTGCCTGCAAGTCTGCAGAGTTTCTCATGCCCATTGTGCTGAAAGCAGAACTCTCAGGCAATTGTTTTCAGAGTTATATCAGAATGCAAAATGACAACTAACTGAAGAAAGGAATTAGAGCTGTAGACGATCTTAGATTCTTATAAACAGGAAACTAAAAAATGGCATTTGCATAATTCTTGTTTGCTTTTTCAGTTTTTACAAGTATTTTGAAAATTTACCCACAGGAATGAAGAAAAGGGTTTTTTTTTTTTGGTGGGGGGAGGGATGTGTGGGGGTACTTGAAATTGAACCCAGGGCCATATCCCCAGTTCCTTTTTATTTTGAGACAGGGTCTTGCTAAGTTGCTTAGGGCCTGCTGAGTTGCTGAGGCTGATCTTGAATTTGTAATCATCCTCCTTCAGTCTCTCAGGTTGCTGGGATTATAGGCATGTGCCACTGTGCCCAGCAGGAAAAAGGATTTAATATTTGCCCATACTTAGACCAAAGTGAGAAATAAAGCTTCTGGTGCCAAGCACAGTGTTTGTTAAGGTGGCGGTGAAGTAATGATATCACATGTTACAGGAAGTCTGCTCTCTGGTTAATATTTGTTATCTCTAAACTTCAGTTACCTTGAAAAGTAAGAAAACATATTTTTTAATACATGGAAGAGCTGAAAGAGGTTACAACTAAGATTCTAATTCATGTCCTTTTGACTTCAGATATTTATGTTCTTGACATTACTCTTAATTCCTCAAAGTGAAAAATTCCAAAAGAAAAGCAAAAATGCACCAAAAAAGTGTTGTCTGATTCCTTCTTTATGGAGGCTCTAATGACAAATCATTTTAAATGAAAGGTCTTTTCCCATAATGATTTTTAAACTGCTGCACATCAGAAAACCAGGATCTTCTGTGGAAAACACCTTTAAATTCAATTGCCCTGAAGTATAATTGGGAAATTTTGTCTCCAAAGTGAAATGTATTTTTTAATATATTGCAGTCTGCACTATGATGGTGGTATTAGTAGTTCCTTGAGCTCAAATAAAATGCCTCATCATATTTTCTGTTACATTTGTTTTAGGAGCTTTATAATGAACAGTCTTTATCCAGTTTGGCATTTGGCATAGGGCCTTGCACAGAAAAAGATGCCCAGTAAATATTTGTTAAATGAGTGAAATAGCCTTTTTATTAAAACAAAAAACAAATTAGGTATTGACTGATTACTTTTGCATTGACTCATTAGTTTAGTTCATTCAATAATTTTTTCTGAGATTGTACCACGGGTCACTTTTCTAGGGGATAACTAGTGAACAAAACAAGCAAAAGCCTTTGCTCACAAGAAAATTCACCCACTGTGCTGAATTTGGAAACTACTCATTAATAGCTAATCTTCCTTCTCTGTTCTCAGTCTAGAAATCTTAGAATTATTCTTAGCTCTTCTCTTATCTCATATTCACACCTTCACAGTGTATCTAGAATCTGGTTGCTTCCAGATTCGCCTCCATTGCCACCCTGCTCTAAGCCATCTTTGTTTCTCATCTGTTATTTCTTCCTGTTTCCATCCTTCTCTGCCCACAGTCTGTTCTCATCTGTCTGAGTGATCCTATTGAACAAAAATCAGACTACATCATGTGTCTACTCAGAACTCTTCAACTGCTCCTTAGGACTTAGGAGACCCTACCCACTCTGTTTTCCATGCTGCCTTCATCTCTGACCCTACTATAGCTCCACTGTTCTTAGTATGCTGGTTGTCTTGTGTTTGCTGTTTAGCAAACACAGATCTTCCCTAGAACCTTTGCACTGACTAAAACACTCTTTCAAGATATCTGGAGAACCTTCTTTCTTATTTACTTCAGACCTTTGCTTAAGTGTCACCTTTTCCAGAAGCCCTTACTCTCTAGCCTCCTTAAGATTTTACAATACTCTATTTATTCTCGACAGTAGTAATCAAATTATAACACACAAAACTATGTTATATTTACTTTGTTTCCTTTAGTCTTTTTCTACCTAATAAAATATTTGTGAAGGCCAAGAGCTTTGACTGTTTTGTTCACAGAATTGTGTTTATATGAGTAATTGCGTAATGTAACTGTAAAATTTGAGCATATCTGAACATGTGCATATATTTGTGTATATGTGTGTTGTAGAACTAATGTTTTTTTTTCCTAAGTATTTCTTGTTGTGTGTATAGAGTAGATAAAATCTGCTAGCTAAGGTACGTCTGGCTTTCCTTCATTTGAGCTTTTTGTATATGGGTCATTCCCAAAATATTTGACATCCAAGCAGTCTTAAAAGTATCTTCAACTTCAGAAATGAACATAGTATATACCAGTAGGTTAGTAACTTAGCAGAATTTTTAAAAAATATTATTTACATGGGAATTTAAGAGATATAGACATTTGAACTTAATTCAAATTTTTAATTTTAATAAGCCCCCATATGTCTAATGAATTATAAACATTGTTATTTTGAACTTCACAAAAATCAAATATTTATTTCAGTAAATAATATAGGTTATTTTATTTAAGTGTACTGTGCCACCATTTTGAGCAATTATGTTTTTAAAATCTTAAAGAGACCTCAAAAACTGCTTTGTGAAATAACATGCATTATTTATTCTTGATAGAATAAAAAACTGAAACTTCTATAGAGTTTTTTATCTTACAGATAAAATGTACAAACTTGGTATTATGGATTTATATGTCAAAAAATATGTCTTTGCATTTATAAAAACTAACACCTCTCAAAAGCTTATAAATAACATAAAATCATGTTAAAATACCCAAAAGAAACTACTTACCAAAACCTCCTCTGTTGTTAAAGGATAGAATGGTTACAAAAAATCAACAACAACAAACCCCTACAACAAGCCAGGTATGGTGAGGCATGCCTGTAATCCCAGTTATTTAAGAGGCTGAGAAAGAAGGATGGAGTTCAGCCTGGGCAATTTAGCAAGACCCGCCCTCAAAAATAAAAAAGTGCTAGGCATGTAGCCCAGTGATGAGTAGTAAATAAATAAAATAAGAAATGTTATTATGTTTTTACATGAACTTCATTTTGGAGATGTAGTTTAATAATCAGACTTTATTCTATTTTGTCTTAATTTGAATCTGATGAGCCCATAAGTATAGTTTTTTTCCCTCCCTTTATCTTCAAATCCTAAAATATATACTTTTTCATACAATTTAGGATAAAGAGGTAATTAATGTTTTTGTGGTGAGAGGTTGCTGTCTGACAGCTCCAACACTCATTCCTGGTGTTATCCTAGAAATGGTACAATTTGAACCTTCTAGGAAAAGCTCATCTGTGAGCTCTTTCCCCTGTTAAGGGGTTTCCTGATAAGTACCCTTAAGTACACCTAATCTTACAAGTTAACCTTGATGTTATTTACCAAATCCAGTTTTCCTTCTTTTGACAAATAGCACCACTGCCAAACACTTCTCCTTTTCTGATGAAGAAGGCTGCCTGTGTCATCCATCATCGATTTAAATTTAGCCTTACATAGAAACATGAGTCACTAGCTAATTATTAGTTGCATTCAAGGTGACTCTGAATTGGTTGAAATATAACACACCATGAGCTTTTAAAGAATTATATTATGACATTATGAAAATATCCCTCTTCAGTTCAGTTTTCAGTGTTAAGATATGAGTTTTAGAGTAGTTTATCTATGATGCTTTTCTAATATAATTCTAATAAGCAGCCACAAAATTTAAGAAAATTTAGTTTGAATTCTGGATTACAGCCAAATCTTATCAGGTCATAAAATCTTTGCAGGACAAATAATTCTCCATATGTCATTGAATCAATGAATTATGAAGGAATTTTAGTGTCTAAAAATATACGAGAGTCTCATATGTCTGCATGTTGTGAATTACATTTTTGTCACATATAGAACTTTTTTTTTCTTGGAAGAAAATGTATTATTACATGGTTTTATTGGTTTTTATGCAGCTTTTGAGTTTTTAAAATATATTTTCATTATTTAGAGTAAATTAAATTTGAATGTCTATTACTAAGAAGTCTATATTTATCCTTCTCTCTCGTCCTTGGTGATAGCTGTCTCTCTTATTCCATCCAAAGATAATGCAGAAAAAAACTCTAATATAAATTCTATGAATTATGTTTTGGGTAGTCATTATATTGGAGTATTTTGACTTGAGAATAAATACAGACCTGGAAGGAAAAAAAAGATATTCTTCCCTGGTCATGTGTTTGTTGATTTTGTGGTCTAACCAAAGGAAAAAAAGCTGATAGAATACCTAGAATTCACTAGTAACTATAGAATTTATGGCAAGGTTTTCATTAGTATAAGATGAAAATTTGGATTAATCAGCTCAAATAATCTAAGTACTCTAAAAATGTCCTCTATGTAGCCTTGGTCAACTCAGGGTTTTCTTATAATAGTATCATATCTAGATGATTTGTAATTTTATAAAGGAGTAAGAAAGAGTTTAATTTATTGAAGACCCCCAATAAATTTATGGATTGAGATCAACACCATGTAACATAGTTAGTAAACAGAGAAGGGAGACTGTGCTAACATATTGCCAATAAACAAAAAAATAAGAATTATTTGTCATGTAACATTAAATAACAACTTAAATTTGATGTGTTTTACACAGATTAAACATTTCCTTATGAAGTTTTTTGTTTGTTTTTTACTTTCTTCTTGAAGCCATTCACTCTATAAGTAATGAGTCATTTTTAAAGTAAAGATTTAATCTTCTCAGAAACTAGGAAGGGAAAAAAATTGAAATTATTCAGACTCAATATTCCTTGTTACCTGTATGTGTGTTAACATGCTTTGCTTTACAATTTTTGTTGTTATTGTTCTAGTCAATGCAGGGCAAACTTTCTAAAGAAAAACTAAACACACAAAAGATGATGGAAGAACTGGAGAGGAAAGAGAGAAACCTGCAAAGATTAACAAAAGCACTGCTTGAAGTGAGTAGATGAAATTCAGACTGCCTTGAATGGATGATTCACTACCTATTTAAGTTTAAGCCAATGCTTATTTTGATTTTGTACATATTAATTAATAGAAAGTTTTCAAGGACTTGACTATGATGTGCCAGTTAATTAAATTCATTAGGTTTCTTATGAAAATCAAAAACAAATTTATTTTTCTTATAGTTAAATCTATAAAATGGTATTCTAAAACAAAGCCAAATGCTGTCTGAACATTTGGTCCCAAAGTGAAAAATAAATCAGGCATAAATTGAATATAAACAAAATTACCCTTGGGCTGGGGATATAGCTCAGTTTATAGAGTGTTTGCCTTGCACACACAAGGCAATCCCCAGCACCACAAAAAAACAAAACAATATTACCATTGAAAATCCTTAAGGAAGATGCATTGTTGGCAGTTCATCATCAGAACAGATCATGCTTTCTCATTTGAAATAAAGATTTGACCTGTATGTAAGGACCTATTATACAAAAAAGTACATATTTTAACGGTCATAATTATATTTCATCCATATATATTTAAGAATGCATCTCCAAAAGTTAAGGTAAAGATATGAAATCCATGTCAAATTCTTCTGGTGTGAATTTGCAATGTATGATTATTCCACTGTTAAGTGACAAACTGATTTCTCTGGGTTAAGGTTATGGCCCAGCCTGACTTTTTGCATTGTAAAGTTATAGGCCTTGCAAACAGCAAAGGATCTGTGGGACTGTGTGAATATGCAGTTTTTCAGTACCCTTTCTCCATCATTGCCTAAAGTATAAGATGATTGAAAAATGGTATAAATGGTTATTCTGAAAAACAGCTCTAAGTGGACAGCTAATTAAACTATTACTACTACTACTACTACTACTACTACTACTACTACTACTAATTTTTGTTTTATATTATTTTCTGGAGTGCTGGCTATTAAACCCAGAGCCTTGCACATGCTTGACAATCCTCAGCCCTTTAAACTTATCTTTTTTGGGGGTACCAGGGATTGAACCCAGGGGTGCTTAACCACTAAACCATATACCCAGCCCTTTTTAAAAAAATTTGAGACAGGTCTCACCAAGTTGCTAAGGCTGGCTTTGAACTCCTCCTGCCTCTGAGCTGCTGGGATTACAGGCACACACCATCATGCATATCTAAACTTAATTAGCAGTATTCAGGATAAGGAGGTGATAATTTTGGATATAAGGGTAGCAGTTTCTGGATATAATAAGTCAAGAGTTAATATTAATGCTTCCAACTCAAATTTAACAATTCAGAATTATTGAGTTTTTCTCCCATCTTTGGTTTTGTATTTGTATTTTTTCTATTAAACTGAAATTTTTTGTTTCGGTCAACATTAATAACAAGCTTTTTTTCTCAATATAGAAAAATTCATTTCAAAGTAATTAAATAACTATTGCCATTAACAGTAAAAAATAATAGAATCTGGCCTAATGTTTCTTTGTGGATTTTTTTTGTCCTTTGAATAAATTTTATTGTAGAAAAATATATACACAACCAAGATGTTCATTATATAAGAAATTCTAGAACCTAAGGCTGTTTTGGATATAGGTTTTTGGTTTTCTCTCAGGTTTATCTTAAGGCATCAGAGGAACTGTGTCCACAGTTATATATAAATATAATATAATATAAATATATTAATATATATTTTTTATAATTAATATATATAAAATATATATATTAATATATTTCTTTTTCACATTGCACATATGCAGTTGAATTTGGTTGATATGCATGTAATATGACATGCATTCTGATAATATAGACTTGTTTATAGTCTTGGAGAAAAAACATTAAACCTATATTGCTTTTGAGTACTTTTCCTCTAACAACTCTTTTTTTTTTTTTTTTTTCAGCCATTGCAGAACCAAAGACAAACAGAAGAGACATGCTCTTTATTGGATCAGGGCGAGGAAGCAGACCAATCTAGGCAGCAAACAGTTCTTTCTAAACGGCCACTATTTGATTTGACTGTGATTGATCAGCTGTTCAAAGAAATGTCCTATTGTTTGCTTGACTTGAAAGCATTGTGCAGTATTCTTAATCAGCGAGCTCAGGGCAAGGAGCCTAATCTTTCATTATTACTGGGAATTAGATGTAAGTGCCTGATGACTTGTCTTTATTTTATTGCTTAACAATTAGAAACCTGTCTTCATTAATCAAGAATTTCTTACTGTCTTTTTTCTGTTTGTTTTTGTTATTTTCTTTTATACTTAGGTTTATAAGTTTCTGACTCAATTTATGGGTTTAGTTATACCTGATTACATAACTTACAGAAGTGAGCAGTTCATGGTTGATATGGACTTCCCCCTTGGCAGAATGCCTAGATATTTTTCCTATACCAAATCTGTAAATGTGTTTGTGGAGTAGAAGTAGGAGTGAATTCCTAATTACTCTTCTATAAAAGTAATAATTCTGTTTGTTTTTATGGTGGTTGTATGATAATGCCCAGCCATGTATTCACTGGTAAAATGTTAGATAATACTTTTTCCTTGATACAATGTGTGTTACATGGCAGTTGCTTAATGTGAGGACCAGTACTTTCAAATGAGCCAGCTTTCACAGCCTGCATACCTGTTGTGTTTGCCGTTTTCCATGTGACACCCACCCACTTTCTGCCTCAGTTCTATCTTCCTCAGTTCTTGTGTGTAAGGACTGCCACAATAAAATCCTAGTATGAGCCTTCCTTTTTTTGCTACTTTGGCAGGGATGTTTATCTCTACATATGGTTCCAAATTAGTAGATACTGGCATGTATATTCATTTTTAATAGAAAAGAAATAGACTTTAGTGAAAAGATAAGAACAGAAAGAACAAAACCACAAATAAGGCTTATAAATAGACTTGTTATATTCAGTAACTGTCTCACAGTATGGTTCTTATGTGATCAAAGTAAGGACTAGTTCTTTCTCCAGTTTCATTAAAAAGATTCCAGCATCTTATCTCATCATAATTATTTTGACAAATCAAATAATGCTTTTAATCAAGTATATCACTTGTTAAGTGAAACATGTATCTGTATTTAGCAGTGTCAGCAGGATTTTCTCTTCCATTTCATAGATGTATGTACACATGTGTAGGTATTTAAAAAACACTTCATGTTTTAAGTATATTCACTTACTCAGCAAATACTTATCCGATGCTTTCAGTGGTCCAGGTAATAAGTTAGGTGCTATTACTGGAGATGAATTGAATACATTCCTTGCCCATACATTAAACAAATTATCTGAGCATCGTTGTAAGTGTTGTAATGGAGACATGGACAAAGGACAATAGGAGCACAAGGGAGACAAGCAACTAAATCTTCTACATGGGAATGGCTATGAATATTCCTTGGAATAGCTGGAGTTTGGTATGTATCTTGAAGAGGAAAAGGAGAAAGGTTGCCAGGTGAACATGAGGTGGCTTAGTTAGGAATGATCTCTTGGAAGCAAGAAGTAAAGGCTCACCCACAGAAGACTGATTTTTGCCTACCATTTTAGAGCTGTTCCCCCTTTCAATCATTTTGTAACCTACATTTTTTTAATTTTTTACATAAATGACAATAGTGGAATGCATTACACTCATTATTACCCATATACAGCACAATTTTTCTTAACTGTGTATAATACAAAGTATGTTCACACCAAATTATGCCATTATACATGTACTCTTTTTTTGCATTACAATTCTTAATATACATATATACCACAATTTTTCATATCTCTGTGTATAAGGTATATTGACACAAAATTCAAATCTTCATACATATGTTTTGTATAATGATGACCATCACATTTCACCATCCTTGCTATTCCCCTTACCCCTAACCCCTAACCCCTTTTCCCTAACCCCTTTTTCCTATCTAGAAATAATCTTCCTCCCATGCTCTTCTCCCTACCCCACTTTGAGTCACCTCCCTTATATCAGAGAAAACATTTGGTTTTTTGGGATTGGCTAACTTCACTTAGCATAATCTTCTCAAATGCCATCCATTTCCCTGCAAATTCCATGATTTTGTTCTTTTTTAG